ACTTCTTGCCGTTGATTTTTGGTCAACCAATTTTGTTGTGCAGTATTTGTGTTCTACCTGAGACTACTTCTGTCGCTCTGTCTGTTTTCAATATAGAACTTTGCACCTATGTGTAGCAGTTCAAGTCGCCACACTCCATGTAGCACACAAAGCAAGAGAAGAAATGCAAAATAGAGACAGTAGACAGGATATGAGACAAAAAGAATGATAATAATAAAGAAAAATATAGTTTCATCGGAAAACGTAAGTCATAAGGAGTGGATGCATCTGCCTTATTTATTGAGAACGATTTTGAACCATATCACCGATTTTCTCCAGCCTTCATTGTTTTTTACCGCCCCGAGGACCCCGACCAGGAAGTCTAGGCCTTCCTACGTGGCTTAAACTAACTGTTGTGGATCTCGTTGACTGATGAAACCACGTTTTGGTTTGACCACCACTAGCTAACACTTTTCCAACCTGATTCATCCTATTTCAGCTAACATTGCCCATCGCCGAGGAAGGCGATGACTAGACATACGTAACACATGTCGATGTAGCTTCACAGTCTCATCGATTGATTTCCCCTCCGTACCTATCACTCGACCGAAGCCTAGCCTCAATATTGCTCACCTTGTTATACCACCTAACACGGGAGATAGAACGCAGACACCTATGACCAAAGACAGTTAACCTTTTCATTTCTTCTACTATCAATGGCCAGGTCTCATAGCCTGAGACCACTTTATCTGCATAGCTGCCTAATGGTATTGTCGAGTTAATTTTGCTTTTTGATGTTATAACTGTTCAATGGTACCACAGATTTTATTGCAAATAACTATCTTTTTGTAGTCGTTGGGGAATTCTGTGACCGTGAGTAACTCAAGGAAGTTACGTTCAGCTACACAGTAGAAAGCAAAGATTGATTTCCTGCTTTCAGACCTCAACACACCGGTTTCGGTAGTTACAGACTGCTTCACTGAAGTATGAAAATTAGGGAATATTTAACAATACATTAAACAGTAAATAAGCAGTTTCTCATTTAGTTATGCAAGTGGGGAGGACATAACGTCTGTTTATCCGGCCTTACTATTTTCTTGAGTAGTGTTTGGTTTTAAACAGAATTATTTGTAGTTATCTTGGGATGTATCTTGCCTGATTACTTATAATCACATCTTTTTAATCGGTATGTTTTATCAAATCACGTCATTTTGCTCGCCTTAAATGTTTGGCAGTTAAATTTATTTTTTTAAATTATTTTCTTACTAGGAATGAAGTGCTTTCTATAGTTTTCATTATTTTCCTTTGCGCTCCGAATGGGATATTGGGAGTCACTAGAATTGTAACAACAGAAGACAAGGGCCAGGCAACAGATCGTTTTATTATGAAAATCAACACGTATTTATACATATTTCAACTACATTATTATAGACAAGCGCAGTCATCTGATTGGTTGTTTATCAGAAGTTAGGTAGACAAACGCAGGCTTCTGATTGGTTGTTTCGGGATTCCTTGACAAATAGAGTTCTCTATCTGCGAATCATATTTTGCCACGTTAACTTTGCTGTGATTGGTTGTTGACTCAGCCTTGTTCATATTTTCTCTCGGCCCATATTAGTGACCTAGACCTTAACGTAGATTGGTGCCAACCAATCGGCTAGCAGCCTGCTCTCACCACACTCGTCCCCCCGTCAAATACGTGCGACTGAAGTCGGCTTGATCTACTTGGTGCAGGCGTCATCGTTGGCTTGTCTCGCTGTATCCATTTCTGGAGCTCGCTGACGTTCACGCGCCTCTTATTGTTCGCCATTGCGACTGTGTCTGCGTAACCCCATCTCGAAGTGACCATATATGGTCCTTCCCACTTTGGAAACTGTTTGCCTGACCCTGTCGAACATTCGTCCATACTTCGGCTCACACTTTCATATGCTGCTTTCACCCGACCTCCCAGCAGCGTCCCAAGTAGCAGCTCCATCGCTGACAGATCTTGAACGCCACTCAACTGCGCAGAAGCCTTGAAGTCCTGCCCGAAGATCCATATGTCTCCATTGAAAACAGCAGGGCATAGGCTTTCCATTTGTCGGTAGGCAGCGACACCAAATGTAACAACAGAAGACAAGGGCCAGGCAACAGATCGTTTTATTATGAAAATCAACACGTATTTATACATATTTCAACTACATTATTATAGACAAGCGCAGTCATCTGATTGGTTGTTTATCAGAAGTTAGGTAGACAAACGCAGGCTTCTGATTGGTTGTTTCGGGATTCCTTGGCAAATAGAGTTCTCTATCTGCGAATCATATTTTGCCACGTTAACTTTGCTGTGATTGGTTGTTGACTCAGCCTTGTTCATATTTTCTCTCGGCCCATATTAGTGACCTAGACCTTAACGTAGATTGGTGCCAACCAATCGGCTAGCAGCCTGCTCTCACCACAGAATGTCTCCATTTCTTCCTGTCCTGTGCAGTCCTCTTAAGCTGGCTGCCTCCACATTTGTTCGAAGGCTTTCTTCTCCTCCTAACACGACTTCCCCCATGTCACCCTCGAAAAAACGCCCAACTCGTCGTTTCTCCCTTACCTTCAGCTTGAAAGCCTGGCATGCCATGTCACTGAACAGTCTCCTCAGTGTGTGACGGATCCATCTACAGTTTTACCAGCATATTTGTTGAGTGAGACGTTCTTGGTTGGTTCACATGGTTCAATCACTCCTCGTTAAACTTAAGCCTCCGTCAGGCAAAATATGCTGTGCTTTCTTTGAGTTCGGTTTGAAGAATGAAAAGACAAGGTATATAGTGGGAGGTATGCGACTGTTCTATTTAGATAAACACCTCAGTGCTAGGTGCATTTTTCCAAACCGCTTTTCTAGTCCACCTACCTAATTGTAAATCCAAATGAACATCATTTGCAAAAGATAGAACGCTAAAACTAATTTTTGCTTCGATTATCATAGTGAATGAAAAACAAATAAATCATTTTCAATAAAACATCAGAAAAGGGAAAACCATCCACATTTAAATTTTCTGAAAACAAAACGAAGATGTATACAACTTCACTTAGATCCTCAGCTATGGCTATGTTCTAACAATATACAGTATCTTTAATCCATAACGATATCTTTACCAGTCTAGTGGTAGTGATAAGTTTGTCAACAATAATCTCGGGTATTATTAATATATCAAGGAGGTGAAAATTAACCAAAAAAACTACTGCGACAATTACAGAGTAGAAATAATTGCAGAAATTAAACAGCTGGACTACACAATGCATAATTTCGAAAAATAAAAGGAGTAATTAAGAAACAAATGAAGAGTCGGAACGATTACGTAACAAGGAGTTAATGATGAAATAATAAGTAAAATGGAATAATCAGGATGATGATAACTTGTAAACGCCTTCGTGAGTGGGAGAAATGCCAGCTTTTTACATTCATGTAATGATGGCTAAGATAAGGAAAGTGGTTGAACGAATTTCTTCAGAACACATACAGGTTTAGCTGCTTCAGATAGATTTCGATAGTGTTAGCTGAATGTGAAAGACTAACTCGCAGAGAGAACGTTGGTCCGAAAGTGATCAATAACTTTGAATGCTTCATTAATATCAAACCTGTGATTACAATCTACAAGGTGTAGCAAAACAGAGCTACGAACAGATCTTGCTTATCCCTTCATTAAACATGCAAACTGACGTTCTAAAGTCCGATTAGCAACAAGCCTAAATGTATTTCCAATGCAACTAACTTTACAGGAGAAGTCAAATTAGTAGATGCATATAGAGGAGGCGAAATTTGGCAGTTCATCTTTATTTCTCAAAAGTAAAATTGGAGTGATTGTGAAGAGATGGTGTACCTCTACTGTATTGAATTGTCTTTTACTTCATTCTTTAGATAATGTGTTACTATTGCATTGATTTTATCAACAAGGGCTACTTTGGAGCTGCTATACTGTATTGCATCGCTATATCGTTAGACATATTTTCCCGATTTACCAATATCCTCTTCAAGTAAACTCTGCGGTACCTATGTTAGCTCATCGACTCAAGCAATCTGAATGTTGGTAAGACCATTAAGTATATGAAAGAACAAATACTGAGATGCACACTGAATGATCAATTTTTATTGGTTTCAGTTTTGGTCATATTTCCAGTTAAATTGAAAACCTATTTTGTATAAATATTTCTTGTAAATATATTTACAAAAATAGGAGGAGTGAAGATCATCCTGTTTGTGTACATACTTCTGTATTCATGGGTGAGTCACATCTCTTTCGCAAAGACCAATGATACTACTTGGGTTGTAGGTCTGCCTCCCCAGCAGATAATATGACATTGCAGTACGTAAACCACTTGTTCTAAGTCTGATTTCTGCACAAGCAAGTCACAAATCTACGAATTTCATAAACACTACTGAGGAAAAATCACTTATTTGAAGATAGTTGAGGGGCAAAGTACAGTCAACAGTTTGTACTCGTTCTTATGCGTGAACTTCTCCAACCCCATTGATCACGAAATTTCTACAGAAAGGTATTTTTTCAAGTTCGGTCACGCATTGATATCAGATAGGTAACCGTTGAAAACCACGAAATGAGCATCATGAATTCCATTGTTGGTTACCATTCACTAAACGTTTTCGAAACGTATATTTTATGATTATTTAATATTATTATTGATATTTACTCCTTTACGTTCTCAGTGGAACATAGGGCTTCAAGATAGAGACTTGAAGTTTCGGTAGCAATGGATTTCATCTATATAGAATGGGGTATCTAGCCTCATGCCCAACCTTCCCTCTTAACCAGTCCCATTACTGGCTTAGAGAAGTAAAGGAGCTCGTCGGCTGGGGATCGAACCCGACCACCTGCGTGGTTGGCGAGCCTTCTACCGCTGTGTCATGGATGTACTGTATTTTATGATAGCACATGTATTGGCACACCAGCACATATTAAACTGGAATTTTTCTAAAGAAATATCATCAAAATGACAATTATATATATATATATATATATATATATATATATCTTCAAGCCATTTATTGTTGACTAAAAGAAAACTAATCTCCGATGTTTTTTCGGTCTTGATGACCGGAAATACCCACACAGAAATCATCACTTGTTAACCTGTCACGTAATAAAACGATGAACATTTTGAGACAAAAGAGAGGCCAAGATGAAAAATTAGACAAATAAATTCATTAGATAAATTATAGGATGATATGTATTGCATGCATTCCGCAGAAGTGTTTATAACAAAACAAAAAAAGCAAACTAAATAGTCTTTGTTTTATCACATATCGATACGTGTTAGTTATAAAAGCAAAAACGTTAAAAGTCAATTTAAAAATGAACTAATGTCTCAGTAAAATATTATTTTAAAGGCAAACAAATATCCCTGAGTAGCAAATCCAGAAGCATCGATTGTACTTGACGGTAAAACATGGTTGTTTCCACCGGGTATACAACCTAAAAATTCAAGTTAACGCATACCTGTTGCCAAGAAAACCACTCGAATATGTAAGATACTTGAAACAATTAACAAGAATGACAAAAAAAGTTGCATATGACATGTAGATTGAGAACTCCACAGTGTTATCAATTAAATCCGGAATGATAAAGTTGAGCATTATCACTTATTATGCTTATATGTAATATATTTCATCCAAAAAGCATAGAATATCCCAACAGCACGAAGTGGTGTTGCAGCTGCAATCTCCAATGAAGCACCGATTATCACTCGAAAGAAATCTGATAGATAACGACATCGTACACTCACAGGAGGAAGGATACCAGCAGTTAACCAAGACAAGAGTGATCCTTCTAGTCCATAAGTGCTTACTAACTTTCCATTTATGATATCCATATATATTGATTTAGCTACGCTATCTGGTGAGGCTAGACCTGCAGTTGAAGATATTTCTTTAGTAGCTGCTGGCTTGCCAGTGTTTTCAAGCTAAAAAAATCATGAAAAAGAAATAATAACTTGTAAAACTGTTTAGTGAAGACAGAAACTAGTTTATTCAACTACAATGAACGCAACATGGGACACTGGGAACAAACTAACTAACAACTCTTTACCCAACAAATATGCTGAAGGGGATAGAGATGGACAGGACACAGGCTGAGAAGACCGTTGAGTGACATCACGTGCCAGAATAGGAAAGGACGAGTTTGGCGACCGATAGTGCCATGGAGGAGGTCGTGTGAGGAGAAAATGAGACTTTTTGGTTAATCGTTAAGCCAGTCAGCTAAACAGGATGAAATAGAGATCTTCTGCTGAAGCCCCATGTTCCACTCGAAACCCAAGGGAATAATAATTATTATTATTTTATTATTGTTCCCTTGGGTTCCTAGTGGAACATAGGGCTTCAACTGCACTTCTCCACTTGCCACTTCTGTCTTCCTTCTGCTGTACTTTTCACCTGAATCCATATTAGTCCATATTGTTTCAACTCCTCTTCACACGATCTCCATGTCACCCTTGCACCGACGTCCTACTTGCCGCTTCCCTTTAGAGTTCCACTCGAACAATGGCGATGTCACCCAGCGTCCTCCTCAGCGAGCTTCCAATCCATCTCCACTTTCTCCTGCATATTTGTTGGTTGGCGATTGGTTCTTGTTTTGTTTCTTCCCGTAGTTTCTTGTTAGTGATTCTTTCCGGCCATCTGATCTTCAGTATAGAGCGAAGACAAAGGGAATAATAATAGTGAAAGAGAAATATAAGTTCTCCCTTCATTGGTTTTTAAAAACTTTCAAATAAACATGTTGATAAATTTCTTTAGTGATAATAATAATAATAATAATAATAATAATAATAATAATAATAATGAGTAAGTTGTTTAACTAAATTCCAAAACACGTTTATTAAATGTGATCGGAAAATAATGCCTAGGTGGCATGACAAAATCAGACAAAAGTGGACTAAAACTGAGGACCTCAAAATCATATAACAATCGACTCAGAAAATCCCTAATAACGCATGTCTTCGAGGACTATCACTCCCTGTTAGGACGGATAAGCTTCTTTGTTAGCCGTAAAGGAGTGTGAACGTACTGACATGATAGACTTGACGGACAGTTTTGACTCGTTTATTCATGGCTTATATCTCTGACGTCTTGTGAATATAATATACTGTGCATTTTGTCGAACAAAAGTTGTTGTCGTTGTTGCGGTCGTCATTTTTCCCAGTTTGACTTTTGTGCCTATCTTGGTGTGGGAGATAATTTCCAGTGATCAGTTGGTAATAGTGTCGTGTTTCGGAGGCGCATTCTAATCAAGTTAGACAACTCGCAACCCAGTAACAACACTTCGTCAAAACACCCCTCAAAAATTTATTTGCAATCTTCAAAAACCTAACAAAAATCAGAATATATTTTTATATATATCATGCATTTCAGTCGTTTTAAAAAACTTAATGTAGCTCACCCGTATATGAATTTTAAAATGACTAATGAATTTGAGAACCTGTTCAACTCTCAGTATCTTAACATAAAAAGGAGAAATGATGGAAAAATCTAAAACAAACTATTTACAGAAGACAGATGTGATCTGATCAGTACCTGGACTATCACAACTTCCGTCCAATTAGTTAAAGGTAGAAATTAGTTGGAAAGCTTTTCAGTTGAGTGACGGCGTTATGCTCAGAAATAAAATTGAAGAGGAGATCGCAGTTACTGAAAATAATCTTATGGAGAATGGATATCCCATGAAATTTATGAAATATGGAGAACAAGGGCTGTCAACAGTACAGCCTGAAACTATTTCAAAAGAAGCCAATTTTTATCTAACCCCCATAAAAAAACAGGACGACTTCTCAATAAGTATCTAGGATTGGATTAAAGATAAACCACAAAGAATATTTTCCACCGCCAAGGTGATTTCACTTTATACCATAAAACGTCCATTAGTACAGTCAAAATAGAACAAGTGTTTATACGTGCATTCTGCAGGCACCTAAATAACGCAAGATATGACACTCTGTCAACTTATGAAGTAGCTCACCAGGGCATATTACTATACGTTCATAAAAGACCACTACAAATGTATATAAGTTGGCTGCGCTGAGCAATTTTCATGAATTAATTCTAACGACTCATTGTTTATTGAAAATAGTGTCAGACAAGAATTAACTAACCTTTTATCATCTAGTAAATAAACAATTTCATCCATCCATCCATCCATCCTTATATACCTTCAAGTTTTACTTTTATTATTTCTATTATATTTATGGTCCTGTTGCTTCTCTGTTTTACTCTTATAACTGCAAGCACCAACTTATCTCTATGACTGCTGTAATCTTTGTTTTTCCCCTCACCATATTATGTAAAGAGAACATTATATTCAATATCTTTAAACATGCTAGGATTTCTATACCGCATTGACGATACTGTGAAACAAGCCCACGGCAATTTTCACCTGTATTATTATTATTACCTCAGCTGTTATCATTATTACTATTATTTCCATTTTATATGCTGCATGTTTTTGACATCACCTCTATTGTAAATGTGGAAAATTTTCTGTGTGATTAATTTTTATTTATAATTTGAGGAAATTAGATGCAATATTGTGATTAATGCTGAAAATTCCATTCTGTATCACAAGTACTGTTTTTGGAATAAAGTAAATTATTATTATTATTATTATTATTTATTTTAATTCATTTAGGTTTCTAGTGGAACATAATGTTTTGCACTCTGAAGTTTCTGTAGCGGTGAGATTATTTTTACAATGTGGGTTCGCTAGTTTGACGCCCAACCTTCGCTCCTTTCCAAGATTACTACCGGACTACTAAGCTAAGCGAGGTTTGAGGGTGGGGTATCAGTTAAGAAGTGAACCTCAACCTACCGCCAGGTGGCTAGTGAGTATTCTACGATTCAACCACCGATGCCTGCTAGAAGTAGGGTTCAGGTGTAAAAAAAAAAATAATGAGTTACAACACTGCAGGCTATGAACTATACAAAAAACGTGACAAATTATATTTTACCAGGATGTTTAAAAACTAGACTAAGCTAATATTCACAATATCATGTACAAAGAATGAATAGAATAATTTTAACTCATTGCCCATTATTAAAAGTCTGTCTGTCTGTTTTCGACATAGAACTTTGCACAAATGCGCGGCAATTCAAGTTGCCACATTCCTTGTAGCACACAAAGCAAGAGAAGAAAGTACAAGAAAAGCATAATAGAGACAGTAAGCACAGGTGTGAGACAAAGGAGGGGTAATAACAAAGAACAATATAGTTTCATTGGAAACTATAAATCACAAGGAGTGAATGCATCTGCCCCACTGAGAACGATTTTGAGGTATACCACCAATAGCTTCCAGCCATTGGTTTTTACCGTCCCAAGGACCCCAACCAGGAAGTCTACATCTTCCTACGTGGTTGGCTTAAACTAACTGTTGTAGATTTCATTGACCGGTGCCATGTCTTGGTTTGACCGCCGCTAGCTCTTTTCCAGCCTGACCCTATGTCAGCTAACATTGCCCATTGCCGAGGAAGGCGATGACTAGACATACGTAACACATGTCCTAACCATCTCAGCCAATGTAATCTCACACAGCCTCGTCGATCGACTTCTCCTCTTTACCTAGCACTCGACCGAAGCCTAACCTCAAAATTGCTCACCTTATTACACCACTTCACATGAGAGATAGAGCGCAGGCACCTATGATCAAAGACAGCTAACCACTCTTTTCATGTCTTCCACTCTCAATGGCCACGTTTCGCAGCCATAAAGGAGGACGGAACAAACTTATTAAAAGTATAAAAAACACAACAAAAAACCACTGAATCAAATATGCTTTCTTTTTTCTAACTATCGATTAGTTGTCTTTGAATTTATGGAGTATTTAGCGCTATACTCCCGTTTTAATTTTATCACAAAGAACTGACATTGATGCAGTGAAAAGATATATATATATACATGGTAAATAACAGATAAATCATTTGCAGATATTTGTATACATCTGATTATGGAAAGTTATCCTTTTTTTGAGCCTCAAGTTTTTTATAAAAAACAGAAGCTTTTAAAACTGAATTGTTATTATTATCATGTCAGTTATTAGATAAAGCATAAATTTTCACTGATTTGCATATAAAAAAGCGCTTAACTTACAGCATATCCTGGAGTATCTGTATCTGGTGGGAAAGCTAGTGTAATATACGGTCCATTATGTCCTAATTCCATTTCTAAGGCTTCTGCAAATCCACGTAGTGCATACTTACTTCCTGTATAAGCAGCATAACCATAAACACCTATTTGACTAGCAAGACTACAAATAAAGGCAATACGTTGTTCATGAGGTTGATGAATTTTCTGAGTCAACATATAAGGTAGTAAAATACGTGTTACATAAACAGCAGACAAATAATTCGTTTTTAGCATGCCTTCAATATCGCTTGTAGATGTATCCAAAAACTTGCGTGCAACAGCATAACCAGCACAATTTATCAATATATCAATAGGTCCTACAGTTTAAATTGAAAAATAAAAATTGAAAATGAAGATTATACAAAGTGAAATAGTCATTTTGAAATGTTTGAAAAAGAAAAAAAACATTAATGTTGCATGACCACAAGATGTACGGGATAGCTACTTAACGGCGATAACACATGGCCTGTTTGGAGTAGCTTTTAGAATAATGACTGTGTGGAGATCTTACTGTTGGATACAAACCGACGTCAGAATGCCAAAATGTTTGGGATCAATCCTCCTTACAGGGAAGCCACAGAACGATTGGTTTGCAGGCCGTCTGAGGGGAATACCTTACTACAGTACTACTTCATCCTCAAACCATCAATATAGTCTGAACGACTTACACTATGATGTTTTTATTCCTTTACGCTCCCAGTGGAACATAGGGCCTCAAGTTAGAGGCCTGAAGTTTCGGTAGAAGTGGTGTTTATTTTCACGGGATGCCCAACCTTTGCTCTTTACTAGTCTGAATAGTGGCTAAGAGAAAAAAAAGAAGTGAGTTTGCCGAGGATCGAACCCCGAAACACCTGCATGGTCGGCGAGCATTCTACCGCTGTACCACCGACGCACTATGATCATAACTGCTCTTAGTATTACCACTATCCAAACAACCATTCTGGCACAGTAGGACCCAAAGGAACATATGTTCCAGTCAGTGTAGCTCGTTGAGTTATTGTCATATGCTAGCCTGACAACTAAGTGAAGGCATCAGATATCCAGTTGGAAGAATATCATTCTGTTTGGTAATTATGTCAACTCAATATACAGAAAAAGAAATACACAAAGCCTGGGAAAAACCTGATGACGAGTATAAATAGAAAAATGTCAACTTCCACTGAGGTTAACTCTTGAGTACTTATATCCGAAATTGAGAGGAAAAGATCTCAGGACAATTGATGCTAGTTTCTTGGTGGTAGAGTAAACCATTTTACGACAATAATGTAGTACTAAATATTTTCGGCAGTAATTAAATTGACGTCCATTGAACCAGTTTAGTGGTTCCAATCTCTTGAGAAAGTAGTTGACTGTCTGACTTACTTGATTACATCTATATAAGGAGCAAATTGTTCCCCATTTTTTATTTCATGAATTACATGAATAGCTGGTGCTAGAAAAAAGATTTATTTCACTCAAGCTATATATTTACAGACCGCGTACGTTCGCTGGAGACTACTCATAGGACATAATCATTCTGAGTCGATCATAGTTTGTTATATCATGAGTTCTGATTTTCATCTAACCAAATCATAATAGCACGATATTTAGGTGGATCTGCTCAAATTATATATATATATATATATATATATATATATATATATACATTTCAGAATATACTCTCGTCAACCACCTCTTCAAGATACTATCGTTTTTCAGTTTATGAATAGTTCTATAGTAATGCCTAACCAGTCATTCGTCAAAAGAAACAAATGGTTTGATAAGTTTCATATAGAATGCAGATAAACTTATTTTAGTCACTCTTAATTTATAAAACTTAACTGAAGAACAGAAAGAAAAAAACTTTTGAAATATGGTAGGTTGTAACACCAGCATATCTTACCATGAGCTGTTACATGTTTACTGAAGACTTCACTTAATACTTCATAATTTGAAGTCAAATCGACAGATAAAATGAATACGCTATTGTTCCCATTCTTCTCACGCCTTATAGCTTCTCTTGCACACTCCAACTTTGCTAGATCACGGGCAACAATTGTAACATTAGCACCAGCCTTGTAAAACAGCTTCGCTAAAGACAAACCAATCCCGCTTGAACCACCAGTGATCAGAACATTAAAGCCATGAAAAGATTTGTTGCATAAAGAGAAGTCAACTCTTCGACGCAACAGCAGATACAGAGTAAGTACCACAGTTGCAGTAAAGATTGTAAGAATCTAAAGAAAAAGGTTTAAGGTAGCATAAGTTGAGTAGAGTTTCAACAAGTCAAAGTCAAGAAACATCGATATATTTCAACAAATTAGTTTTTCGGTGTTTTGACACAATCAGTTTCTGGAGTATCATCATCTGAAATATCATATTCCACTAGATGACAGTGATTCTCGTCATTTCTAGGACTGTACGGTTTGGTTTGCCCTTCTAACAAAGGTAGACAGAGGGGAATAACCTGGGATTCTGAGAGCGAAGATAACTCAGGCACTGCCTGTTTATCTCCAGACAAATATGGCTGAACATCGACATTTTGTTTCTGATATACATCATTACACTGCCGTTGCAAACGTAAATAATTATCCTTCATTACATCGACAGTGTTAAGAACTGATTGAATATGACTCTCCGAGAATGAGATACACGTGGCCTGCCCCAGTAAACTCTCCAGCTTCCTCGAGAACTGCATGCAACTAGTCGACTTGGATACATCCGAACTTTTTGAATACCCTTTAGATTTGTTTTTATTTTTTAACGCGACAAGTCTGTTCAACTGGCCCAGTTTGGTTCTTTTGTAGCCTGGCATTGTTTGGCTGAAAATACTCAGCACACAAAATGTATTCCTTGTTCTCTAGACAGCCATTGTTAAATCCACAGGTCTAAAATTTGAAATTAAAATTGTACATTAGAAGTGAGTAATTGACATACAGAATGATTGATTCATTAAATTTGAAAGAATAATCCGATCTTCAGATCAACATTCAGTAGTAGTTAGATAACACCTGGATAAATTATTTTAGAATCCGATCTTTTCACAAATGATGGTTATATCTCGTCAAGCATTGAACTCCCTCATCTTACCGATTTTTATTCTCTTTTGAGTCCTATACACTTCAAGGTGATAAATAATTCTTATTTTACCAATCACAATATGACTCCGTTTGGTCAATCAAATATGAGTTACACAAACCTAAAAACCACTCATTCATATGAAAATGAATTATAAACAGTACAAATCAATAAGTATTACCATCTACAAGAAAGCATATTACATTTGATTACTTTGAAGATTCAACACTTAGCTTTCAGCTAATGGGTAACAGATTCGAGTCCCGCTCCACCTACTTCAGTCTGAGCGAAAAATTAGTGTCATTAGCCTTTACAGAATAAGTGTGACTGTTGGCCTGATACATGAAGGACCTGTTCAAGGTAATCGAATCCTAACTTGTGAGCAGAATTACTGTTTTATTAGTAATATTGTTGCTGATGGTATAATTTAAAACATTTAACATTTATCATTAGCTCATGAATTCCCCCCATGGGTTAACATTTTACATTCATATAAGACCATGTGGATTACAGTAAAGCCTGACGAATATCCAACTGAGATCACTACCATCAATTCATGTAGCCTTTTTTACTATTTTTATTTTAACTGATGAAAAGTGCTCATTAATTTTTTTCAAAAGAATGATTACTGAACAAAGAATACTGTTTTCGATAACATCAGGTTCTACAGTTGTATATACATAACAGTGAATGAATTAATGTTATTAACAACATTAATGCCTAAATAACATCGAATCAATAATAATATCAAAGGATTACAGTTCAACAGTACCAACATAACAATAAACTGAATGCCAGAGATATTAGGAAAGATAATAAGACAAATTCATGAATTTATAGTCTCCATTGAAGGCCAGGGCAGTGGTAGTGGATGGACTTGTTTCTTTAGCACACCACATACCCTATCGCTATGTGGTCTATGTAGCTACAACGTTGATTTGGTGATGGAGGTCACCAGGTTAAGCAATGTCTCTGTATGCCTAAATTTAATGCTGACTAGGAACAGATGATTATCTGAACACAACTGTAAAAGACGATCACTATTATCGGTCCGTCGGTAGGGAACTCCGTACGTACCACCTATATACTTCTCATTCTGGCATAAATTCCCTACTTGGGCATTGAATTCGCCTGCTAAACCAACTATATCTGAGCGTTTTGATTTTTGCGGCAAATTAGACAGTTTCTGGTAGAAATTACCTTTTAGTTCATCCAAACTGCAGTCAGTTGGGGGGTAAATGGAGACTACAAAAAGAAAACGAATAACGCCGTCCTTCCTTCTAACGGACCCGTTCAGGAGGGCCACATGCATAGGAGTAACTACTAGAATCTAGTCGAGAAGTGGTTTTTCACCCCTAATACTCAATGCTATTCTTACACCTGCTAGTTCACGCGAGTCTCCTGACACTCTTAGGGAGAAATTTGCAGATTTACCTTGTTGGCAGGGTGAGGTTAAGTGAATAAGCACACTTGGGTCCTGTATGCGTGTCTTTGAAACACAACATACATCCATGGCTCGAGATGTCAGTGTTCTTGCTACCGATGCCTGTTGCCTGATTTCGTAGAGGGTCCTGATGTTAGATGTCCCCAAATAAAGCCGACGGTGTTGCTTTAAGAGGCTATCGGTGTTCTGGTTCTCATCGTTATTTGTGGTCACAGAATGGAATGATGACTGACTAGCCTGCAGAATGGTACTGACAATAGCAGGGAAGCAAGATGAGAGTGACAGATAAAGGAGAATGATGATCAAGAAGGCTTCGTGTGCTTTCGGAAGCGTATGGGCGGTCGTTACTTTCCGGCTGCCCACACCGTGAAAGTTGATTTTTTCTTGGGCTATCTGAAACAGAAAGAGAATTAGTGTTGCGTGACTGCAGAGCCCAGTGAACAACTACTTGAGGCCAGTCACAGACGAACTGTGTGAACTGGCTTTTGATTTGGTTCCATATTAGTAACTAACAGCCGGCTACGGACCACCGTAGGGTAAGCTGGGATATACAGCTGTTGGGGTCAACCTTTTTTAACTACTCTTCAGAATGGAGAGATAGGATAGCTGGCATTCTGACCATCTGAGGGAAACAACTCACTGTTGTTACAACAATATTCCCCAGCAGTACGACTTTGCCCCCCAACAGTGTACAGTATACAGTGTTTTTTAATGATGAAGTTTCGGGCACAATTTATTGATCATAACCACGCCTAGACATCCACACATCCTTCAATTATTTCTTATCACTGGATTTGACTAGTAGCGATATTTTTCATATTTCTCGCATTGGTGATGAGCCATTCTAAATGCACGTGTTAGCCCACCTAGCATTTTCATCGAGCGCATTGCAGAATGTGCGATAGTGATCTGCGGTCCGCTCCAAAGATTCTGCAGTGCGCCCAAACTCAATGCTAGCTGGGAGGTATAAATTCGCTGAACAAAGCTTCAGTAACCAGCCTCTTTCTGACTATTTATATTACTTTTTGGAATTGTAACTTTCCCACCCTATCGTGTGGTTGTGTTAATAAACACATTGAGATTGCTGGGTTTTTTTTCTAAATTACGCATGTTCGTGGGGTTAGTCATCCTACACTTAGCTAAATTCTTCTGACTTGATAACCTGAATACCTGATCTACTTTGTAATAACTGTAGAGTCAACTACGCAGGTTAATCCAGTAAACCTGAGGAAAATATTTGAGAAAGGTGAAAAACGGGGTATAGAAATCAACCGAATTTTATGCATCAAAATGGGGTTTATTTCACTCTACAAAGAGGAAGGAATTTTTGAACTTCACAACATATCTATAGGGTAGAGACGCAAAAATCTTAGGGTGGGACTCCAAAGCCTGTACACGCTCAAGTTTGGCAAAACTGCAAGCACGTGCTCTGACAACCTCGAGTAGACGACTCTTAGTAAAAAGCTTATTCCCCCAAACTTAAAGTAGTGGCTAAGGTGGGCCGGAATTTTATCCTAAAGACGTCAATGTACCTCTGAAGTCTTCGCTAGCTGGGTATCGGTTTATTCGAATTATAAAACCAAAACTCCACCGTCTGAGTGAATTACAAGCATAGAACTTCTGCACGCAGGACATATTGCTCCTCAAAAAGCCTAGTCAGTCCACCTGGCTGCCAGTCAGATAACCAACGGTCCATACAGTCTCATAATTATGAAACTATATTCACCAAAATACCTGTCATTAAGGTATTATCATAGTCAAAAAACTGACCACAAATTTCATCACAATATTCATTTGAATCATGCCATTAACAGCTAACTAAATCACAAGATAAACAGAAGAAACAACTGTAACCCACTTTCGGACATGACCATAATACTTCAGTACCGAAACCTCCTAAGCTCCCGCGTTCATAGTAGGATTTCAGATTCAGACTTCAGAATTATTGGTTGAGGATAAAATGCTTGTAGCCTATTTTAATCCTTTTCTAGTAAATTTCTGTGATTATCCAAACCCCTTTTGAACCAATCAGTTTAGGTTGCAGACACCACTTCTCCTATGAGTCGGTTCCAAGAGTTTATGAATCGGTGCGAGAACAAGTAAGCAACAGCAATATGGTTTCTAGAATGTGTGAGGACAAGGACTGGCGGCCTGAATACAGTTTTCCAGTCTTGACCTCACCAACGATGTGTATAAGGAAGTAAACATCTATCTGGTGATTCTAGTAAAGGCTCTGAGAATCACCCATAAGGACCTGAAACTACGTGCAGCCACCGCGCGACAGTGTGCTGTAGTTTTTAAGTCGTGGCTAACTATGACACCTAGGTCCAAATGAGTCTGAAATGATGGAAGCGTTATTCCCTCTAGTTCGTAGGGGCTTCTGCTTACTTGTCCAATGCGCATGGTTGCACATTTTGCCATATTTATCGAGAGCATCCACTCTTTGGACTACTCTGACAATTTGTTGAGGTCCTCTTGCAACGTGAGCGTATCTTTGTCGCCCTCCAGCTTTCTCCAAACTTTCAAGTCATCTGCGTATGGGACCATAGGGGAGTCGGTGAGCAGACATAATTCATTGATATACAAAAAAAATGGGACAGGTCCGAGTACCATGCCTTGTGGCACTCCACTACGTACTGCAGTCCAAGAGGAGAGTTTCGAGTTTATCCTAGCCCTCTGATTCCTATCTATGAGGAATTCTTTGAGCCAGTTTGGTAATCTGCCTTCGATACCAAGACTTTCCACCTTCATGAGTAGTCTTTTGTGAGGTACTTTATCAAAGGCTTTGCTGAAGTCTATGAAGACAACGTCAACAGGCCTTCTGTTTTCCCTTGATTTGGCCCAGTTTTCTCCTGCAGTGAGGAGATTTGACAGGCACGAGGGGTTTCTTCGGAAGCCATGCAGGGCTCTGGATAATAAACTGCTATTTTCTAGTAAAACCATGGTGCTTTTCTTGGTGATTCTTTCCAGTGTCGTGATTAAAGTGATCGTGAGACTGATGGGCCCGTAATTTGAGGGATTTTCTTCATGTTCAGAAGTATCACTAAGAGCCTTTAGTTTTGACCTCACCACAGTTGCATACAAGCTGCTGAACATATCACTGTTGATAAAGGAAGATAGGCCAGATGTTTAGACAACAGGAATTTAAACCTGAGATCTACCACTGTACGACAGTGTGCTTTCCTAATTCCGTTAGGATGTACCATGAAACATAAATTCCTGTGCATTTCAAATGAATAGCGGGGTAACCTGTCTCTGTCATACGCTCCAATGTCACATCCCGAAAGAAAAAGATTGCGGTTTCGTTAAAATGACTAGAAAAATCCCGTGAATGTCAAGGTTAACTACCCTGGACCTCACGCTGTCCCCGGAAGACTTTCAGAAACAATGTGTAATAACCAATGCGAAAAACCAGAACACAGATTGGCAACTCGAGAATCCTTTATTCCTACGCCAATGTGTAACCAACAATAAGGTTATTATACACAGGGTCTAAGAATAAATGTTATATCAATAAATCACGATAATACTTCTGATAGTTTTCTATCTTCCACTGGACAGAGAACGATGAGATGATGACTGCAGTATTGATGACTCCCGCGAAAAATATGGAGTTGGGTTTGAGCAAACAACCATGAATTGATCGTTCAATCTTCAACTTCTTTGACAACATTAATTGGAACCCACTCAATTTCTTAAAAAACATATGTACAATCAATACATCAAATGTTGTGGATTCTGACTTGATGAGCTACCCTTGAAGGACTGTAGGACTTACAGGAATATGCCTACATTCCCTCTCAGGTTGACGCTCTAGGTTGGAAAATCGTTGCAGAGTTCATTTGCTGACTTCCCTCTATCAGCTATATCCTCAAATCTGAACGGTAACACGCTCATGTCATTGTATCGTAGAATATAGATGACCAACAAACATACGACGTATCTGACCGACCAAGCGAAGAAACAGTAATTTACACCAAAGATAATAACATTCAAATAGTAACTTGGATCTTGAAAGGCCCTTATTCGTGCAAACCAGTTTAACAATCACCCTTTCGTACACAGTTGGCTTATCCTCACTAAACTGAGCAATATCTTTCGTCTTTTCAAATGCACCGATACTAGCATAGTCACAGCACAAGACACCTGAGTTCATGGACGTCCCTTTCATTCTGGATGACAACACCAACGACGACTGGGTGATACAAGTTGATGAACTTAGCGGCGCATCAGAAGCTGTTGTTGTTCGGCCTTTAGAAGGTTGTTCAACCGCAAGATTACTGGCACTGCTGTCTTTTATTATTAGCTGCAGTTCAGCATTAACATCTGTTGATAGGTGGGCTACACACTGATCATTTACAATGAAGGTCTCATGAGTGTCCATACCTTCTACCACCGCATCTGCTCTTAAATATACTTCACGTTCAAGCTGTACAGAACCTTTGTTCAACTCAGTAGTAGCAGGCATTTCGCCCATCTCATCATGATCAACCAAAGACAAATGTGCGCTATCATGACCATTGTCACAAATATCCACTTTACCGCCGTTTGTATGATCGACTTCATCGTTATCAAACTATCTAATAACAGCAGTAGACAATTTGGGTCCTTCCTCATAGATCCTTAAGGGTTTTATACCTGTACTCTGACTAGTAATACCTTGCAAACTTGTGGAGTCTGAGCTGGAATCTGAAACTGTAACTCTTTTCTCCCGCACAAAATGCAGTGTCGTCTGTGACACTCTATTCAACAATGGCTTACCAGTTGCAGCTACAGGCTTCTTCACTGCATCATTCTCGTCACACGATTCGGAGTCAGACCTTTGTGACGCTAATTTCACATTTAGCTTACCACTAAACTTGGTCGCTTCTTCACAGTTCGCCTTTGTATACACTTCTTGCAAACGTGTAAAACACAACCGTATTGTATTTGAATGCCAATTAGATGTGTTTTACTGCGACCCCTAAACCTGACCAAGTCCTCTTTATTCTTGGAGTTTGTCATCCATGACAGGTGTCAGTCACGTCTCGTAAACCGTTAATGCCCAGCTCTTGCTGCACTCGGGCTCACGCTGTTCCTTGAAGTTTCTCAGAAACGCTTAGTAATAACGGACGCAAAAACCAAAACACCAATTGGTGACTCGAGGATTCTTTATTGTAACACCAACATATAAACACTGTTACAACTAAGGTCTGTGAACAAATATTACAATAATGAATCACAATATTACTTCTGACGGTTTTCTGCTGACTTCTTTCTGAACAGCGACCGATGAGACGATGACTGTCGTATTGATGCCTCCGCGAAAATTTGGGAAGTTGGTTTTGAGCAAACAACCATGAATTGATCGTTCAATCTTCAACTGCATTGACACTCCTCGGCAAAAAAGGGATCCAACCCTTTTTTTCTTCACAACCAATACACGTTGACTTGGATGCCATTGCGAGAACCTGGGTCACTCGGACAGAGCTGAAATGGTAAACAAACAGAAAAGCCAACACACCACAAGCATACTCACAGCACAATCTCACACATCAATGACGACCTGCGCCTCCAGATAAAGGTATCCTCTTGACATCTTGCAACACAATCGCCACTTGCTAGAATGACTCTTGCAGAATGCAACGTGACCATGGCAGCACCTCACGATACTCTACGCTCATCCTCTTATCTACTCACTACCAATTACCACTGAAATCGCTTATCACTCATTCTGCCTCAGTTCTAGTAACGATGACGTATGAAAGCCTCAGTCGTTTACACTCTCTCTCCCCGGCGTGTGGAAACACAGCTAATAATTATCTCCGTGTGCATTTCATTCTCAGCAATAGCCTAGCCTCCCCGGCGTATACGACCCATCTGCTGTCCTTAACATCAATCAATTCGTTCACGGATGTAGAAGACTCGAAACAACTTCAGAAGTAATCACGACGAAAATGTTAACAAAATTACGCAATAAAAACAAGGTACGAAAACAACGAGTAAACACAATGAATCCAAAAAACACCAACTGATATGACACACCACACATGTATACAAACAGTATACACAAACTCGCAGTTCATGTCTTGATGGAATTCCTTTGAAGAATCGCAGGACCTACACCAGTACGCCTACAAACGTTCACAGGTTGACCATTGTAAGTTGTGGAATGTCCGGACACAAACAAGATTATTCAACAATCACAATAATTGGAACTCACACAACTATTTAACACAAACATAAGGACAATCAACACATCAAATGTTGTGGATTCCGGCATGACAAACTACCCTTGAAGAACTGTAGGACTTACAGCAGTACGCCTACATTCCCTCTCAGGTTGACGCTCTAGGTTGGAAAATCGTTGCAGAGTTCATTTGCTGACTTCCCTCTATCAGCTATATCCTCAAATCTGAACGGTAACACGCTCATGTCATTGTATCGTAGAATATAGATGACCAACAAACATACGACGTATCTGACCGACTAAGCGAAGAAACAGTAATTTACACCAAAGATAATAACATTCAAATAGTAACTTGGATCTTGAAAGGCCCTTATTCGTGCAAACCAGTTTAACAATCACCCTTTCGTACACAGTTGGCTTATCCTCACTAAACTGAGCAATATCTTTCGTCTTTTCAAATGCACCGATACTAGCATAGTCACAGCACAAGACACCTGAGTTCATGGACGTCCCTTTCATTCTGGATGACAACACCAACGACGACTGGGTGATACAAGTTGATGAACTTAGCGGCGCATCAGAAGCTGTTGTTGTTCGGCCTTTAGAAGGTTGTTCAACCGCAAGATTACTGGCACTGCTGTCTTTTATTATTAGCTGCAGTTCAGCATTAACATCTGTTGATAGGTGGGCTACACACTGATCATTTACAATGAAGGTCTCAT